CTTTAGGCTCAGGGGAGAAATAGACAGAGCAGCTCATCTTCAGGGTGCCTCATTTTCCTGATAGGGGATGCATCTTTTTGCCACTGTAGTGCCTTTTGGGGTTTTAGACAGCTTTTGTGACCCTGGAAATAATTCATTGGGAAATTTACAGGAAGAGAGATGGGGTGGCAAAGGTGTGTGTCCGAGAAGGATCTTGCCTCTGGCAGTGGCGTTGTTGGAAAAAGGGCAGAGAAAGTGTGTGTGTGTGGGGGGGATTAAACACAAACTCCAGCCTGAAGTATATCAAGAATGAATCACTTCTTTTCTTCTTCCTGGTTAACATTTCTCACAATCTCTTGTTGTATGTACAGTGGATACCATAAAAATCAAACATCTTTCCCTCCTCTCCCCAGCCCACCCCCAGCTAAAACAGAAAATAAGAGCCCCATCCTTCTTTGTCTGTGGCTCTGGCTAAGCCCAGCACCTGAGGCTATGCAGTAGAAAGAGATGCTAACTCACTGTTTGGAAAGCTGTTTCATTTACTCTTCCTGCCTCCTCAGTGCCTACTCGAGGATTTTGACAGCCTGCAGAGCATGGCAGGTGGCTGCTGTGGGTGCATCTTTGTCTGTAGTTCAGTCAAATTTACTGGAGGAAAAGACAATAAATTCTTTCAAGGCAAAAGTCCTTATTTACTATATACCTGTTCACAACCCCTGATTTTGCCTAAATTTCCTCTTCCTTGCTTCTGTTACTTTCACCCTTCCTTTCCATGACTGCCTTTGCTGCTTTTCCTTGGATGTAAAAACACAGACTGTGTTGACTTGTCACAGCCCATAGAGAGCTCCCCAAGCACCTCAGGCTCCTAGTAAAAACAATGTACCAGGATCAGAGGGCACTGGAGGCCCCCAGCCCATTTGTTTTGAGTGATTAGCTATGACCTTTCTTAATATCCATGGTGTTCATCTCCATTCTTCCACTTGTGAGTTAGGAGGTTATCAGTGACTTGTGATAGCAGGATGGGCAGAGCAAGCTGATGCTACAAGGAAGGTTGTGTGTCTAGCTGTAGCTCTGCTGTCTTGAACGTGTCTGTACATATCTAACAGCACTGCATTTCCCAGTAATGACAGCTCACGTTCCTGGGAGCTTTCAGAGGATGAGCTGGCCACAATGCTAATGAAATGTGCTCAGCTCAACCTACTTTAGAGAAGACTTGAGCAAGGCTAAGGTGGATGGGGAGAAGGTGGATTTTGATGCTGGAAAGTTGCAGTGTAGTGAGCAAAGTCCTGATTCCCTGAAAGCGTTCAGGAGTTTGGTCATTGTCTTGTGTTAGCAGAAAATATGTGCTGGGACTATGGAGTTACTTTTACTCTGCTGTCCATGTAAGTCAGGCAGTCACTGCGGAAAAGCCACCCTTCATCTTTTCCTGGCACAGCAACGTGATGGGTATCAATACGATTTCCTGTAGAGGCTGAGAGCCAGCCTGGCAGCCCACCTCTCATCTCTCATCCCAGAGGCTAATGGCTGTCCCAAGCTGCAGCACTGTATGGCAGCAAACAGGGAATGGAGAGAGGGGAAAATGGAGGATAAAAGAGAGGCAGCTGGGTGTGGGTAGGGAAAGGAATTTGGAGCAGGAGCTAGAAAGGACATCTGGGAGCCAGATTCTTCTCTTTGAGCACATTGCAAGGAGCTGGCTTAGGCAAAAGAGAAGCATTCTTATTTCCTCACTGTGACCTGCAAAATGTGATAAGAGTAGGTGATCTAGGTTGTAGAAAAAGGTGGCATCTAGGGAAATTATTGTGCTTTTCATGACTTCTAGCTTGGTGAGCAATCTTACGTCCTTTCCTAGTCCAGTGAGGCAAACTTTGAGGCCATGCATTGCCGTCTACACTGCATGTTCTGTAATGATGCTCCTTCAGTTTTTGTGGGGGGACCTGTGGCACTGACTAGTATTGGGTGGCAGGACTAGCAAAATTAAAGCCAGTTTTCATGAGAACAGAGTGGATTGACAGGGCTCAGGAGTGGATTACCATCACAGATGCTCTGACTGCACACCAGGAATTCAGGAGTGGGCAAACAAGCCAAGCAGTGAAGCTCTCTGCTGTTTTTCTCTCTTTTGTCTCACAGCAGGAACTGAACCAAGGGATAGGAGTGTAGGTGTTGCAGAAGTTCACGTGAGTGGATAGTCTCTGGCATGTGTAATTTGTTGGACTGGGTTGGCTTATGTTTGCTTTTTGTTGAACTTGCATTGGCCAGGCCAAGGATAGCATCCTTTTTCTTTTTAAACCAGTTTTTCCATATTCTGCTCACTGAAAGGGAGGGAGCACAAGCAACATGTCTGCAACAATGCCATAAATCCAGAGAGAAGTAGAATTAGGAGTTCTTTCTGGTTCTGATGTTTGTATCTGTGAGGTCATGAGCTTAACCAGTCTGGGTTCCTCAGAGCAGAGCCATGCCTGTGCGAACCTGTTGTGCCTTGGGATCTGGTGCTTGGGGTTTGTTCCAGAGCAATATCATAAAATTTTTATAGCAATGTCATGATGAAGAGCATGAGAAGAGAAGTAGTTTCACCCTCTTGCTAAAGTTAGCTTTGCAAATTTTACTCTTGTTCCTATGTGCAACAAATCCCTTGGTTAGATCTGGAGCAATGTGGGGAGAAAAAGATTTGTGGAGATGAGGAAGAGAGAGCAAGCAGAAACCTGTCTTTGTGAGGATTACCTTTTATTAAATGTACTTGAAGTCCAGTCAAAAAAGCCCTTACACACATTAGCAGTGTTATTCGTTGGACTGTCATACTGCCTTGTGCTCCAGCATTTGTAGAACTGGACTCTTAATCTATGTTGATTATGTTTTAATTGAATAACTAAATCTTTTACAGAATGCAGAAGCAATAGAGATGTTTCCATGCTATTTTATTTTATTTTTCCAGGCTTCCAAAGGACATTTAACTTTTACAATCTTACAACTTGTTCTGCAGCATTTGCTAGTCAGCTGTTGCATAATTGTTCTGGGGAATGAGAACCAGGGAATAATATGGCCCAGAAATGCTAAGAGGCAGAAATGAAATTGGCTGATCTTCTCATCTGCCACTATCCCTACTCTCCAGGATCAGAATACTGAACAGGCCATGTGCGGACTCTGGTTCTATTTGAGGGCCTGCCTTTGACTTGATGTGTCACCTCAAATGTTAGGGCCTTGGGTGCCCTTTGCATCTCCCACCCTTCTCCAGGCTGGCTTTTGGCTGCTTGTCTTAAAAATTCTCTGAAGTGGAGCAATCTTAGGTTTTGTGTCTTGGAAGCCTGTGGCTGCTGTGTAATTATAGGCCAGAAACTGGAAGGTGAAGAAGAACCAAGAAAGAGCCATGAACTGCACTAATAGTGGAAAGGAAACTGTAATCTTGCAGATTAAAAAATCCAGGTGACTACAGCTATCCAGGAATAATGGTCTGGGATAATTCCTGTGAAAAGTATTTCTTTTTTTGAGCAACAGCTTGGATGGAAAAACTTTGGCTCTATAATAAAAATAGGCAAGAAGCTGAGTTTGTAAGTAGTTTCTAACCTGACTCTCAGCCTTTTAAGTGATGTGTTCTTGCATAAAGCACATTGGAGCTTCCACTTTCTTGTTAGTCAAGACAAATTTATTGTAATGCAATAAGATTTAATAATCATTAGGAACTAATGAATGCCTCAACACGTATAAGCTTGGCAGATCAGCGCCTGCCTGCTTTGCATAGTCTGTCTCTCTTTGACCAGCCTGCCATTTATGTGTTGGATTGATGACTGGGGAGTTCGTAAAACAGATAATGATTGAATGGTTCTGAAATGAAATTTAAATAAAAACTATGTGTGAACTAGTGAGACAAAGGAGAAGGTAAATTTTTGGCTTGGAAAATTGAAGTAACTTGGTGAGAGTGAAGGCAAACAGAGCTGGATTGTTTCTGTGGAGGTGCTATTGTGGTCTGAACAGGCTTTCCAGCTGAAGTTAGGTGAGTTGTTACGTAAATCTTTAGTGTTTTTGCTATTGTAGCAGTCAAGCTGTGAATGAGATCTTCTGCACTAAACTCTGTGGTTGCATGTATACCAGAGAGACTCTGTCTAGGGAATTTGCAGGTAAGTCAGAAATGGAAGGATAAAAGAAAAATTACTCAGGATTAGAAAAGACTTTCAGTGTGTAGTATTTCACTTGTCTCAAGAACTTTGGTTTTCCCTTCCAAGAGAGCATCCCTATCTTGAGCACAAGTGGGGCTGTGCTGTTTTGAAAACAGAGGGAAAGCAACATGTTTTGAATCAGAAAGGGTCCTGCCTGTATGTTCATACTTGTTCTGGGCATGGGCTTTCCTGACTAATAGCCTTTTTCACAAGGACCTTATTTATGTTACTTTGTGATTGCTTATCACAAATCATGCCACTCACCTTGAATCTGCTAGAAATGAATTGAACTTTTTCATTCCTCCTTGGAGGAGCTCATTTTTTTTGATGAAAATTGTGAAGAAGTTTTGAATCATACAGGTACAGCCACCACAAATTGATATGAAATAATAATAGGTGCAGTTGGCCAGGTGCTGGCCACTGTGGCTTGCAGCTCTGCTGTTTTTGCTTTGCCTGGGATGGCCACATGGCAGAAGAGATGCTCTCAGAATCCCGGTGCTTCAAGTCTGTCCCCATCTTTGGCTGCCCAGCCAGGCATCTTTCTAAAATACATCTTCTCCATCCGTGGGAGTGGAGACTGTCCTGCCTCTTCACCTTGACAGCAGATTGCACACTGAGTTGCATAATCCTCCAAGTCAATTTAACACAATAGGACCATTGTGGGAATAACATTAAGAAAAAACCCAAAGTAGCCTAAATCCTTGTTAGATTGAGGCTAGCTGCTGGTTCTGGGGGACAGCTACAACATTTCAGCATGTTTCTCCCTGCAACCCAAGAGTTATTGCTGGGCATGGTAGAAGCTCTATTAGGACAATACGAAACCAAGCGGCAGGCCAAGCGGTTTAAAATAACTGGAACTCTGCTTTCTTCTTTCAGGTGAATCCTGGTGGCAAGACACTTGAGGAGAGGCGGTCCAGTTTAGATGCAGAAATCGACTCTCTAACGAGCATCCTGGCTGACCTAGAGAGCAGCTCTCCTTACAAACCTCGGACTCAACAGGTTAGTGGCACATTGAATAAACAGAGAGTGGGAAAGTGGCCAGCATTGACTGCTGGAGTCAATTTGTTAACCGCTTGGTATTTGCTGCAAACAGGCATGCCAGTTCCTCGTGATAGCATCCAGATGTGGCTGTCAATGGAGAGAAGGGCGCAGTCACTCTGAAGGGGGCACTGGCTCAAAAGCTGCCATACCTCTGAGTGAAGGGCCTCTGATCCTGATTGCTAGATTGCCAAAATACTTGCAAAAAATGGTATTTCATTTGCCTTGACTTTCCACCAACAATAGCTTGTGAATTAAAACCTGCTCAGTTCACAAGTACTGTTAGGCTTTTTTTCCCTTGTTGTTTTTCTGTTTTGTTAACTTTTTATGTGTCACACTGCCAGAAAGACCCAGATATCCATGTCTCAAGTTGTTTTCTTTTGTTTTTGTCATCTAATCAGTGGCGATGAAGTGGCTTGGATTGTAGCTCAGCTGTCAGGGTGGCTGTAGCCCAGCAAGGCAGACTGGAATTCGCACTTACTCTGCTGTGTCTAGACAAGGACTGCAGGGGTGACAGCAGCTCAGCTAGTTTTTGTCACTCATCTAGGTAGTGCTTAAGAGGAGCTATTTAAGTTCTGGTGAGATGTGATCTATTTATCAGAGGAAGTATGACACCCTAGTGGCACTTTAAAAAGGGCAATTCTTGAGATCTTGTAAAATCATCCCAGATGTACTTGTGCCCAGTTGTATTCTGCCTTTGCTTCCTAATCTCAGGACTGGCCTAATTTCTTACTTGTGTATGGGTATGTAGGTATGTGTGCAGCTATATGTTATGTTGTGTTTGTCTTACCGATGTCAGCCCTGAATAAAATCTCAGAAATCAAAAGTACCAAAGGGTAGCTGAGTGATGCGGTCACACCCATTACCAAAACAGGCCTTCTCTTTGGTTAGTGGTTTTTTTTGGTTCTTTTTGTTGTTGCATTTCTTTTAAGCACTTGAGAACCAGTACCTTTGGAACAGAACTAAAGTAGCTTTTAGTTTGTTTAGATTTGCTCTGTTTAAGCCTGTGAGCTTAGCAAAAGCAGAGTTAAATCATAACTGTGCACTTTTGAAAGCATCCATCTGCACACAGAGGCTCTGGCATGGTGACCTGTGTGGTTTCCATCCCTTCTGCAGGGACCTCCTGATAAACTCTTCTTTTACCCTAGCAGCATGTGCACAGTTCTTGCATAAACTTACAGACTTGTCCTTGAAGAACAGTCTGATCTGGGTCAGCCAGTCAAAAAGAGCAACAGTGTAAACCAGATACAATTTAGTCCTTTTCCCAGTGGGTTTTTGTTGTGATAAATGAGACAGTTGTAACAGTGATAGTGCTCAGGCACAATGTCAAATAACCCATGTTCATTCTGTTTGCGTGGGCCAGACACATAAGAATGCATACTGTTACTGAGAAAGACTTTATTGTGTCAAAACACTGGAAGAGATTTTTACTTACCGTTTTGTCAATGCCGGCGGTCAGCTCCAGCATGTAACTTCTGTAACCTTCTGTAACCACTTTGCTGAGCGTTTGCAGTTTGAGGACAGTCTCCTGGTGCTTCTTCCTTTGGGATCAGATATTCTGTGAATAGGTTGTTTTTCTAACTTTTATTTTGTACCTGTAACATTTAAAAAAAAAAAAAAATCATAGCGTTCAAATAGTTCTGCAGGTGTGCTTCATTTTCTGGAGGATTGGAAGGCATATACTGAGTTTTGGACTTGATCTGACTGTTTAAATTCATCAGCCTTGAAGATGATGTGTGCTGCTCAGTGCACATGCTTGTTCCCATGGCTTCTTGCCCACAGTTCAGGTGGGGGCACTGAAGATTTGTCCTCCTACCCAGGAGTGATGCTGCTGCTCCTTGGTGCATCACAATCACTGTGTGCGATCCAGTGGGCAGAAGAAGCTGAATTTCATTTCTGAGATTTTCTACTAAAATCCCTACTTTCTTTGTTCAGTTTATCAGACTTTTCAGGATTTATGGGTTAATGTAATGATGTCCTGTGAGAAGTACAGCTACAGCAACTTCTAAGTATAGCTGTTAGAGAAAGAAAATGCTGGAGTTGAATGTATCACCTGCTGTAATTAAAGACTACTCAAGTCCTTGAAAGGTGGAACTAGAATGTAAAGCTTTGATATTTTCCTTTGTTTGATATGTACTAAGTATTAAAACTGGTGAGTCATTTGATAGTCTTATAGTAGGATAATAGATTAGGCTGCAAATTGTGAGGTACTTACTCAGAACATCAGCATGTTTATTGGATTACACCTTAGATGACCTTCCCAAATTTATCAGGATAATGGCTGCAGATAGGAAAATAGAGTTATGACTTGTTTTCAGAGAAGATGTTTCCAGTTGTGCTTATGCAGTTAAAGCATTATAATAATTTTATAGGTATACCTTGCCCTTGGGGGTACTCCTATTCTGCAATAAGAAAAATTTTATGTTAGGTTTCTTTTTTGTATATTATCTTCAAGATACTTTTAAAGCAATATAAACTGAACTGTAACATAGTCCTCTTTCACTGGAGTAGGAGTGATAGCAGGATAATGGCAAGCAGTTTATCTAACATACCCTACACACTGGCATAAATTCACAGGGAAGGAAGCTCTTTTGATCCTTGGTATGAGTTCAGGATTGCAATGAGACACACTGCACCAGGAGGTGCCTCTGAAGCACAGAGATTTGTACCCTCTGCAGAAGGTTTGAAAAGAATAATTCTCAGACTGGGTGTGCCAGTGTCAACCCCAGACAATTCTCCTTGGCCAGCAGACCTGCTGTTGAGGACATGGATGAGTATGAATCTCTGCACCATCCATGCATTGCTTACCCTGGCATCACTCTGGTAATATATTTTTATGTGCCAGGCAGGTGACAAGGACATTGTAATGAAGTAAAAATGACTGCCATTAATAGAGGGAAGGGAGAGAGAGTTTTGACACCTGTGGTCAGCAGCACTCTCCTTGCACTCAGTGGTTCTGCCTAATTCAAGTCAGCTGAGGTGGAAAATGAAGGTAGAGATAGCATCAAAGTCCTGCTGGCTGCTTCCCATTGCCTGGGCAGAGGTGGTAGGAAGCTGTCCTGCAGAGCTGTTTCCCTCTCCTCTAAAGTGATGAGTTTGAAAAGCATTTTTGCAACATAGATCCTTTATGGAGGAAAACAGATCTTTTCTGCTCATAATGGCAGGTTTGATGGGAGGAGGTCCTTCTGGGAATGTGGTACCCCAATATGAGTCAACCCCAGTGTTGCTGAACCTCAAAGTGAAAATTCTCTCGGGCTTCATTCCTGGTTAGTTTTTGTCTCTGTCTTGGGGCAGTTGTTGAGAGTACCCTGAGCAGACATTTTCTAGGCATTGGTAGTTTACTTCATATTCACTATCAGCAATATGTGGGTCAGAAGCAGCTTTCAATCACCATCACCTCAGCCCTGGGCTCAGCCCATGACTTGCAAGTGAAAGTCTCTTTGACTAAATCATAGGAGAAGTCACAAGTGATTAAGATGCTAGGTGTTTTTCTTTCAAAATTGCACCGATCAGAAAGAGCAGAAAATTACAAAACTAAGTCATCTTTTACTGCAACACAACAGCATCTAAGGGTGCTTTCTGTCATGTGAGGTGATGTAGGGGAGGCTGAATTAAAGAAATTCAGCAGTAGCTGAAGGTTTAGAAAGTACCAAACATTACCTGATCTTGAACTCATTGGAAAGTTCAGAGGCCTTTCACTAATAAAAGGAGACTGTATAGACAAGGCATTTAGGTGCATAATTTCCATGGATGGGAGCAGGGTGAACTCCGACTAGGGGAGCTGGTGAATGCTGTGGTCATCTGGCTCCTCTGTTAAAGGGTATTTTCCTAAATTTGTACCCATTCTGCTTAAATCCTTGCTTAAGAAATGTGTGCAGCAAGGCCTTAAGCCCATGAGATAAATGTTTGCACCTTTTTGACAAACAAGAAAACTTTGTGACTCTGGAGAGGGGGCTTCCAGCAGAGGCTGTGAAAATGAAATACTGGAAATAGCAGCATACAAAAACTCAGGGTTTTTTTTTCACTGCAGATTGTCTGTTTGGTAAAAGAGGACTTTGTGGGAGGTGTACCAGGACTTTGTGGGAGGTGTACAAGATACACCTCGTCCAAGGGTAATTGGTCTTTTTTTTTAAAAGCAAATAGTGGGTGGCCCAAATTTATGGAGTATTTAAGAAGCAAAAAGCCCATTATTTGATGGTCAAGATCAAATCTGCTTGGGTACAGCTCTCAGAGGCAGCTTGATCCAGAGGGGACTGGCTGGCCTGGGCTGGCACACGGGAGACCTGTTTCATTCCCAGCTACCACCACTTTGCTAAATGACCTTGAATGTAGCATTTCTACTCTGCTTCCTCTCAAAATCTCTTCTGTCCTTGTAGCTTGGCAACCTCTTCAGTGTGATTTGCCACTTACTACCCATGTATGGCATCTAGGAACTTGGAATCTTGGTCTGGATTGAAGGCCTTTAGGTAGCGTGGTTGTACAGATAATGAAAAAGAGAAATAAATTTTATCTTTTATCTAACAGGTGGGGAAAATGAAGGCAAAGTTAGGTGAGGTATCTAGGGATTCACACCTATGTCCCTGCCTCTGCATCATTACCCCCAGTACTAGACATCTGCTACTATGCAACACTCTCAGCCTAAGTCAGCAATATTTTCAAGGAAAAGAAGCTCATTGTCACTGTGAGCTGCAGAACAATAAAGGAGTAAAGAAAATTAAATTTTAAAAAGTGATACATTTTCATTAAATTCCAAACATACTGGGAAGTAATGTCTTCTAGTGACTGGAATTTAAAAAGGATTTAAATGTTTGACAGTGTTGGTTGTTATTCCATCACTTCTTTTGACAACCATTTGGGGATAACAAAAGCAGTGAAAAGGCAATGGACAAATTTTCTTGCTAAGTGGTGGGACAGGATTGAACAGTTTCAGCTGTGGGATGGCAAATAAGAAACAAGGCGAA